TATATTAATGATGAGTTATAATTAATTGACAATATAAAAATATTTTATTAAGTTAATGCATAACTATTAAATTCTTTTTTTAATTGAGTTTCTAAACTTTTTAAAATCATCACATGTCATTATTTTCCTGATAGTTTTAAACTACAGCAAATTAGCATAAAGATACTTTTTTAAGTTTAAGAAATAAATTATAAAAATATTTTAAAAAATTCGTATACTTAAAAAACCTACTCAATAATTTAACTTATTTATATTATATATATTGCATGGTGACTGGTGAATAACTTAGTGGGACACAATTAAGTAACTTAGTGGCACATAATGAGCCAGAAGAATGGCAAGCACAGCTAATTATGAGTACACGAAAAATTTGTCTGGAAAAGCACCAGTAATCTCTCAGCATTTTCCAAGAAATTCAATCGCCTAATGCATAAAAACTTTAGCAGAAGCTATAATTTTTTACTCATTCAAAGGGAGACAAATTAAGATGATCATATTCCCTCTCGCACTTGTGATGATCATTCAATTATATATGTATCGGTTAATCACATTTGGGAATGATTATTAAGCCATATCTACTTTCCTACCCCTTCAGCCCATAATAATAATAATATTATTATTATTATTATTATTAATTTTTGAAAATATTATTAAAACAATCACTGTTGATTAAGCCTGTCAAAGTGTTTCAATATAAAATACGTACTGGAAAATTTTGCTTACTCTAAAATTAGGATTTTTATATTTGATTATTAGGAGTTTATGGATCTTGCAAATTTAAAAATTCTATAAAACTATTACTCATTATTGGACATTATATCTTGATATGTAATTTTAATTATTAAATATAAGATTTTGTATCGACTATAAGATATTAGATCAATTTCAACTATCCCTAGTCTTGATATAAGGTCGAACTAATATCAATTATTCGGGTTTGACTTGTTTAGTTTTATGCTAGATACAAGATTATGTACAAGATCAATTTCGATTAATCCTAGGATTGACTCAATCAACTAAAAACCCTTAACTTCTCCCAATTTAGTTTACCTTTATCAATAATTATCTTGAAAGATGTATAGATTAAGTTGGAGAGTCACTAAAAAAAGATTATTATATAGTGATACATATTTTATAGATACAATATTTATCATTAAAAATTATTTTTATTTATAATTATTGATATAATATATATTGATATATTGTAAAAAATATAGATATAAACTATAATAACATATAATATATGTTATTAAATTTTATTTAAAATTATATATAAATATATGTTAAATAAATTTATATCTATATAAAATAGTGATAATTTTTATATATTACTATATAATTTTTTTTTTTTAAAGTTAATCTTTCGAACAAGCAATGTACTCATTCATATCGGTATGAGAGGATGTTTGGGATAATTATCTAAGAAGCTACATTTATCTGTTAACCCAAAGTTAAATAGCATAAAGATTAGATTAGAGAGTCTTCCAAATAAGCGATTTCCTCATCCACATCAATATCTGCATGGTACACAGAAAAAGAATGAAAGGATGGTAGAATATCCCGTTTACTGAAACATACCCCGACTTGAGTTCCATGGCATGTGCAGTAAGGTGCATGTCAACAGTCTTTTCATTGTCTCTTCTTTCTAACTTTTTTAATATTTCTTTTTTAGCCAACTTATTTCTAACCGACACTCACATGTTAATCTCTTTTAGTTTTTTCGAAGAAACAACTTCGTTTTTTTGAAATATAAAAACATGAATGTACTAAACTATCAAACTTGAATGTATTTGAATCTTGAATAATTGAATGATGAAAGCTACTAGATTACATGAGTTATCTAAATATATATATTTTCTCATCTACTAGTATTATCTTGTCAGGTGGTGTGACAGTGAGGTGCTTAGGGCATCTCCAGTAGGAAGGTTATTTATAAGTAAATCTCTTGTACTACATCATTGTCATATCAATTCTGGTCTATTTTATGAATTACTTAAATTTTAATAAAATTATTTATTTTATTAAAATTTAAGCAACTTGTAAAGTGAATTAGAACTGATATAGTGTGGTACATGAGTTGCTTGTAAGCAACGCTCTTATGATTGTCTATCATTCTGACAGATGAAAATTCATTCCTGAACGTATTGTCTGGTAATGAGATAATTCGTTTCTTTTAACTTTTCTTTGCCTTGTCTTTACTGTTTGTTTGGAATGTACCGTGAAGAAGATTGGTTGGCGTAGCGGTGACGATGCGTGCGACTCAAAATATTCTTATGTAAACTTTCAATATGCTTTCAATTTTTGACTCCAGTCAAAAGATAAACTATCAGTGTAGCAAACTTTCACAGCTGATTCAGATACCATGGGTTGCAACTTGCTATTGATATAGCATATAGGTATGACTTTGATTGTTAGGTTGAAATAAATAAGTTGTTCAAATTTTTGTTTTGGTAGATAAAAAAGTTATTCAGAACAGAAGCAGAGAAAAGACAATGGGCCCTAAAGCATTGAAAGCCCAACCCATGCGATACGGCAGTGCAACAGATAAAAGTTTAAAACAAAAGCTGTAGAATGTACATCACTCAGCACCCTTACCGGATAACTAGCATTAGTTTTTTTTTTTTTTTTTTTTTTTTTTTTTTTTTTTTTTTTTATAAAATTAAAATGGGGTATTTTTTCTTCAAAGATTCTAGAAATAGATAATTTTTTTTTTATATATTAAAAATTGGCAACGAATGTCTAGAAAACATGACAATAAAAGCGAAAGTTGTATTATTTTTTTATTATTAACAAATAAGTTTAGATTAGAGTGATGCACAGTCTTATGCGAAATCTTAGTCAACCACTAACTTTTTTTTTTATTATTATTTTTTTTTGAAGATTTTCGGTATGAGTGAAAGTTGTATTTAAAACATGACTTCTATTGTTTTTTCAGAATTAATTTTTTGTTTGAACGACTTACTCATTTTTTTTAAAATTATTTTTAAAATTTTACTCATTTCCAAAATTTTTGAAAAAATTACCCAATTTAGTAAAACAGCATTGTGACACGAACCTTTTTAAAATTCAGCGTGGAGAGGGGAGTGTTGTAGTGGTTCTTTATATTTTTTGTCCAAATATTGATTCTAAAACAAAGGTGGATCATGATATATACACCTTTTTATTTTTATTTTTATAAGTACATCCTTTTAAAAAAAATAATTAAAATATTCTTAATTTTTATTATTTTTAATTTTTTAATTTTATATTCTTAACATTTAATTTAACACTTTTTTTTACATATTTTTTTTCTTTATTTTTACATGCACTCCCTTAATTTTTCTTCATTCTCACCTATTTTAATAGGTAATTTTATTTTTTTTTAATTTTACATTATTCTTTTTTCCTTTCTCTTTCAGTTTTCTCATTGATTTCACTATCTGCATAGTACTCTAGAATAATGAAAATATCTTTTTCATAACATTAAACTTAATGTTAAGATTTTTGGAGGGATGAAAGGAAAGGAAGTATTGAATGAAAAAATGTATGTATAGTTTGATAGAAATTGTTAAGGAAGCTACACGTACCTACAATATTGTCGCCTATTAGTTCTATGATTTTAGTGCATGTAAAAAATTGAAATAGGTGAGAAAATAAGAGAATAATATAAAAATCGAGAGAACTAAAATCACCTACTAAAAGGAATTAGACAAAGATAAGATGGTACATGTGAAAATTAAAAAAGAGAAAAAAAAAGGTATTAGGTGTGTGAAAAAAAAATTTAAAAGTTAAAGATATAAAATTAAAAATTTAAAGAATAAAAAGAATTATGAATATTATAGGATTTAAAAAAAAAAAAGTGTACTTATTTAAAAAAAAAAAAAAGGTGTATATATCATTAGCCAAGGTTAGTGAATGGGCATGGTTTTAAGGTAACTGAGTCCAAATGATCCCATTTTGGGCTGCGACTCTAGAGTCTAGATGCTAATACTGAGTCATGATCATGAATGAGATGAACGCTGACCAAAGAGAATTAAATAATAAAAATAAATTATTATTTTTACTTTTATCTCATAAAAATGATAAAATTTAAGAGAAATATAATTTAATTATTAATTATTATATCATCTATTATTAATTTAACTGTTAATTAATAAATATTTAATAATAAGATCAAAATTTAAATTATATAAAATTAAAAAACTAAAATCATGAAATTAGTAATTAGAGACTAAAATTATGGATAAAATGGCACAGGAGACCAAAAAAATTTAGCAATACTTTTATCAATGTAAATATATACTACAGTACCTATAAAAATAGTAAAAATAACATAAAATAATTGAAATGTGAATAACTCAAAATAATCATTAAAATTTAAATAAAATTTATAATAAACAGGAAATAATAATAACAATAAGTGAAAACAAATGTTAAAACAAATTCGAATCTCTCTGTTTATATATATATATATATATTAATTCGATTCATTAAAATAAGTGAATAATTATCTTGTGTAACAATATTTTTAAAGATTATTTAACAAAAGCAATTTTAGTTGATTCTTTTCAACGATAACATTTTTAATTTCTTATCTTTTTTAATATATTTTTTATTTTTAGTTTTCTATTAATTTTTTTTATAAAAATCCACTCGACGTAAATAAGTTGAATAAAAAAAATGATAAAGAGACTTGAGATAAAATTTTCGATCAATAAGTTAAATATAAATTTCTCTGTATATTTTTATGAAAAATTACATCAACGTTTCAATCGCTTGCGATTATGCCAAACATATAAGTATTTTTAATTATATAAATAACTTAATCATCAAATTATTCTATTATCCTTTTTTAGAATGAGAATAAAATAAAAAAATTAAATAATAAAGTTAAAATAGAAAAAATATCAATTATATAAAAAAAATATATCCAAGTTTGCTAAAGATGAAGATTCTAAATTATATAGTATAATAAACATTTGAATATTGTTTGTTATAAAAAAAATAATAAGTCTTTTTAAGGCAAAATAGAGAGCGAGGTACTTGTATAATTGGGTTCGCACAAACAAACCTCAGCTGCGGCGACCAACTATGGCGAAAAACAGGAGCAAGAAGAAGCGAAACGCTGTCGTTTCAATGGATACCACCGACACATGCGTTTCGGAACAACCTCAAGGCACCTCACTCCCTTTTACTTCAAATCCTCAGATCTTATTATCTTGCAAGCCTTTCTTTTGTTTCAATTTTGACTTTTGCTTTCTGCTTTGTGGTTTAAAATTGAAACTTGTTTACTTGCAGCAATGGATACAACAGATTCAGTAGTTCAAAACACAGTTTCTGGTGCTACCAATATGTAAGTAACCAATCAGTTGGATAGATTGTGGATTTTGTTTTTCTGCCCTTGTGGAAGATTAATCACTATCTATTTTTCAATGCTTTGGTCATTTGGACCTTGTCAATGTTGCCTACATTCCCCCAAATAATTATTGCTATTCACTCATTACACAACCTTCCTTTGGTTTAGAGTTTATTAGAAAATTAGAGCATTGAGTTTTCTTAATCTGAGAGTGTTATTCATTAGTTCTGGAATGAGTTTACAATCGAATATTTATAGTACATATAACTCAGATTAATAACTATCTAACTCTGCTGAGTCACCACAGTTCTAATAGAATGACAGGGTATGCTTGGTTTTACAAAGGTTTGTGGGGGAAAAATGTAACGTAGCAAGTTATTTTAGAAAGTTCAATATAGGTGATTTAGTAGTCCAGAACGGGCCGTTCCAAGCCATTAAATTGACTTATAAATCGTTGTTGAGAACGGGCCGTTCTGGAGGGAGAACGGGCCGTTCTGGTTGGAGAACGGGCCATTCTGGAGGGGAGTACGGGCCGTTCCGGATGGAAAACGAGCCGTTTTGGATGAGTTCCAGAACGGGCCGTTCTAATTTTAGAACGGGCCGTTCTGCATGTGATTTTTGCACATGATGAAGGGGTGCAGAACGGGCTGTTCCGGATTCGGTACAGGCCGTTCTGGCCACTCCGGAATGTCTATAAATAGGGGTTGTGGGCAGTGAGGAGAATGAGAGTTTTTAGAGAGAAATTTTAGAGAGAAGGTCTCTGGATTTGAAAGCATGCTTTAGGTGGATTGAAGTTCCGGGTTGAACTTCGAAGGGAAATTCAACTTCTTCTCAATTATTGGCTATTTTGAACCAATCTTCAGGTAAGGGAAGCTAGATTGTAGATTTTTTTGGTGGTGCTTTTGTGATGAAGATGAGATGTAAATGAGATGCATGTTGTAGTTAAGTTGTGATGTTGTTTACAAGTTGTGTTGATCTATGATATTGTTGAAGCTAGTTGAAATTAAGTTGATAAGGTTACTATATGTGTGGACATGTTTATGTTGTGAAGTATGATAAGATGTTATTAGTAGACTGTGCTGTCAAGTTGTTAGAGGAGAGTTGTAAGTTGCTTATTTGTATACAAGTTGATGATGATGCTAGCGTTGCTAAATTATCTGTGTTGTAAGTTACTTTTAATACATGTGTTAGTTGTTGTTATGAATATGGTGACTATAGTTGTTTATTGCTGTTAAGTTGTTTATTGTGGTAAAAGTTGTTAAGTTGCTTATTGTTGTAAAGTTGTTAAGTTGTTTATTGCTGTAAAGTTGTTAAGATATCTATTGTTGTAAAGTTGTTAAGATGCCTATTGCTGTAAAGCTGTGTTGTTGAGTTGTAAGCTGATTAAGCTGTGATGATAAGTTGTTGATCATTAGGACTAGGGGAGATGTTTTCGAAGTTGCTCATCCCATTATGTGGATTGAGATAGTTGTGGTGCTCTGAGAGCCCAATTTGTTGAAAAACCCTCCTTGGGAAGTTGTCCCTTGGGGTGGTCGTTGTGTTGTTCTCCTCTAGGACTTAGTTGATCCCGTGTGTGGGCAAGATCGAGGCACACGTGTATAAAGCGACCACGGTATAGGGGCAAAGTCGAGCTATACCGATTATAAAGAGACAACGGTATAAGGGTAAGGTCAAGTTATACCAATTATAAAGCGATCACGGTATAGGGGCAATGTCGAGCTATACCGATTACAAAGCGACCATGGTATAGGGGTCAAGTCGACCTATATCGATTACAAGTGGCCAATTTGAGTAAAGTACGAAGTCGGGAACTTAGTTCCTAACCGAGTACTATACTTCCTTGTTTAAGTGGCAAAGTCTGAGAAACCATTATCGTGTTGTGGATTGATATCCAAATGTGTTGTGTTGTCAATTTGGTAGGACCTGGCCACTTAGACTACTTTTCATGTTGTAGGAGATCTCTGAGTCGAAATGCGTGACGACGCATAAGTTTGTTGATGAGTTGATTTGTTGTTGATATGAGTTGTATATTTGTTGTTGTGTTGTTAAGCTGTGATTGTGTTGTATGTTGACCTTGTTGAGGATGACGATAGTGTTGTTATGTTGTAAGTTGAAATGAATGTTAAGATGTATAGTATATATATGTTGTTTGTCTCAAGTGTCGAATGCGAAGATGATTATATAGTATATATGTTGTATATTAAATTATTATGAGTTGTTTATTGTCTCTAGCTTACCCTTGCATGTCTCCATGTGGTTTGGATTGCGATGATCATACGTGGTATGGGAGTAGGGCAGGGATAGGTTGGGAGGTAGCTGTTAGAGGCCATAGGAGGTGCCTGAAGATGAATATTTTTTTGTTGGCTACCTTATAGTAGCAGATTTTCTTGTATATAACTAGTTGTTTGTTACTTGTTTAGCAACTTGTGTTATAAATACTTATTATACTATTTTAGTATATTTTCGAGCAGTATGTAGTGTTGTTCCGTAGTGTGACGGCCACTGCGGGTCGTTACACTTTTATGGTATTAGAGCTGGTCGAGTCTTTTGGATACTCTGTGGGGAGTGATCCTTCTAGGTTTCTGTTGTGTCATATCTTTGATATGTGTTAGTTTTGGTGATATATGGTGGTATCATGTTACTAATAAGATGTTTAAATTCTTGTAGTATGGTGAGGCCACAGTATGATCAGATAGCCAAGGCCATGGAGATGATGGCCATGGCGATGCAGCAGCAGACTGCACATTTTGCTAGGGTGGATGCTGAGAGAGCTGCAGCTGGTGCAGCAGGATCTACTGGGTCTCATGCGAGCAGGGATATGGCTGAGTTCAGGAAGTGTAGTCCTCCTCAGTTTAGAGGTGATGCAGATCCAGATGTGGCTGATCACTGGATTTGCGAGTTGGAGAAAATATTTTCAGTTTTAGGTTGTTCAGAGGAGCGGAAGCTTGCCTATGCAGTGTATATGTTGACAGGAGAGGCAAATTATTGGTGGAGAGGTACTAGTCAGATGATGATTGACCGTGGAGTGGTTGTGGACTGGGTGTGCTTCAAGAGGGCCTTCCTCGAGAAGTACTTCCCAGAGAGTGTTAGGCATGCTCGGGAGGCAGAGTTTATGAGATTACAACAGGGGAAAATGTCGGTAACCGAGTACGCCATGAGATTCGAGCATTTGGCACGCTTCTACACCCAAGCCATCTCTGAGGCTTGGAAGTGTAGGAAGTTTGCTGAAGGCTTGAAGTATGATTTGAGGAGAGTGGTGGTGCCTATGGCCATCACAGAGTTTCCAGCCTTGGTAGAGAAGGCGAAGGTTGTGGAGCGGCTAGAGAGCGTTGGCAAGCCGGCGAAGGCTGTTGGTGGGCCATCTAGGTCCAAGAGTGGTGGTGGTGCTCAGAGGAAACCTTATGATAGGCCCCAATCACAGCAAGGGGATCCGGTCACAAGGAAACCTATTGACACAGCTAGGAGTGAGGGTCAAAGTAGAGTTGCTACTGTCAGATGTTACAGATGCGGTAGACCTCACTTCATTCGTGATTGCCCTCATACCGAGAGCAAGTGCTTTAGGTGTGGCCAGATGGGTCACGTGTCGACTAGTTGTCTTGTAGGTGCCCGACAAACCAGGAGTGCCCCGAGGGGTGATAGATCTACTGCAGCTGGGAGAGTGTTTTCCTTGACTGGAGCTGAAGCCTCCACTTCATCTGATCTAGGAAAGGGGAAGGGTAAAGTTACTGGTAAGGATGTGATGATATTATTTGACTCAAGACCTTCCATTTATTTATTTATTTCTTATGCATGTGCTAAAAAGTTGGGTTTTCCTGTATGCAATTTGGGGTTGAGATTGTTTGTGTCTACGCTCGCTTCTGTTTTTGTTGTTGCCTCTAAGATGTGTGTTGGTTTTCCCTTGGAGATGTGTGATAGGAAGCATAAGGTGAACTTGATCTGTTTGCCTTTAGTGGTTTTCTTATACATACAATGCAGTTTCTTTCTTGCATATAACATTTTTTGGTAAAGTATACAATACAAGGTCCTTGTGTTTTCCTCTTCCTTAGTCTTTTAGAGAGGTATATAAGCCAACATGTGCTGTCTCCCCCTCTATTTTATTATAGTTGCAAGGATATAGTAATATATGTGTGGCTGATGTCTGATGCCCTGATATCATGTGAATTATGTGTACATAGCAGAACACATCTTGTTTTGCCGTTGCTAATTTACTTTTGCAGTTGCCTTCTATATTAATAATTAGAAAATGAACCATTTACTATTGTATGATATGTGATTAGTGATTTCAATGCTTTGTTTAATACTAAACTGTAAGCTCTAAACCTCATGTCTGTTTGCGGTGTTGATGAATTATGTATATTACTGAATGACATATGACTGATGGATTATGTACATTGCTGAACGACATATGATATATCTATACTGCTCTAAGGACACTGGTTAAGAAGAATCTAATAGATTTTATTTAGTGCTTTCAATTACTTAAAAAAGTTAGCATAGAATTAGTTTAGTGTTGAGTAATAAGTATATATAGTAAATGTTTTTTTTCTCATTCTTTGATACTTCTGCTCTGTGTCCTGTTCTGTTTTGACATGGGTCACGTGTTAATTGTTACCGATCTCCTCGAGTATGGCAGAGATCTTAAGTCGATAAACTAGTTTTATCCCTTAAAAGTGCAATTTTGTGGCACCTCAAATATGTTGTGAGGTGAAAACCTTGTAGCTGCTTCATGCTTTCTATTTATTTGTAAAAAAAATATGCTTAATTCTCTACAATTTGTCACTTGTTAGCTCATGACTATGAAGACCATTCTATTCACTTTCTCAAATACTAGTGCTTCTCTTTTAATATCTACTTGTTCTAAACTGGTATCTTTAACTATTAGCCTCTTGTAAAACAGGAAGATGAAGCAGAAAGGAAGGCCCATGAAGAGATCAAAAAATGTCCGAAAGATGAAGGCAATAGCAAAAGCTGTAACCGCTAATGAGAAGTCCGCTGAGAAAGTGTCCAAGAACGAAAGCAAAAAAAGTAGGGTTCAATCTGCAAAAACACTCTATGAATGAATAGTTGGATGCCTCATTCATTTGATACTTTATCTTATAAGAACTCAGTATACGCCTTAAGTAATTTGATTTAGTTATATTTACTTATTAGGCAAAGCATTCTTTTAAAGAATGAAACTCTTTTTATTGTTGTATCCTTATTGTAATAGGATTTTATGTAGTTTCGTTCAATTGTCTCAATGATATTGAAGAAAAATCATAGTTCCGTTTTGTCGGTCGACAGTCGAATGTGGTGTACCAAGCCAGAATGAGTACCGCATACGCATGTCAATTGTTACTGTTATCGCAAACAGGAGTTGCATCCAATTGATACTCGTCTTTGTGACGTAATTTAATGAAAAATTGGGCAGACTTGAAAAACCGTTCTCATTTATCGGAAACATCTAGAAGTCACAATAGCTAATTCCATGAAGATGAGGCAAAAAGTGAATGAATTAACAATTGGCTCTTGGAAAGATTCAAAAGGATGAGAAAAATAAAATTAGCAGTATGTCCGCGACGGAGAAGATCGCCGGCAGGCTGTCTCGGAGCAGTAGCTGGAGAGGAGGTGGTCGGTCTGGCGGAGTGGAGTATCAGTTTCAGTTGGGTTGATGTGGGGCTAAGATTCGCACCCCCCCTATTGCTGCCTCAGCATGGGAGCTTTGGATAACACTAGGCTTCAGAATCACTATTTGTTCTTACGGACCTTTAAGTTGTTTTTGAAATTTGTGCCAAAGTCTCACATTCAAATATTTTAAATAAATTAAAACAATTAAAAAAAAATTAAAATATGGAAGATTTTAATTTTAAAGGAATCTATTTTAAAGAGGAACAATCTTTTTCTACGTTTTCATCCTTACTCTTTTTCCATTTTGAAGTTCATAATACGAAAATAAAGAGATTATAGAAAATAAAATTTGAATTAAAATATATTTTAAGATCGATTTCATTAAATAAGGAGAAATGCTCTTTTAAATTGGATCACTATTTCTCTATTTGGAGGATGATTTCATATTGCTCCTTTTTATTTTTATGATTTCAATAATATTGTTGTTTGTGAGATAAACGAGAAATATACGAGTAATGAGTGATATTTTGTTATAACACAAATTAAACTTAATATTAGAAAGTTTATAATAATTTACTTATCCTATACAACCAAATAAATTAAGCTTCTTTAATTTAATTAGCATGAAAAAAGACTTCATATCTCTTAAATATTTTAAAAATAAAATAAAATAAGTGATAATGAAAATAGATGATTATAAGTGCTTATTCCAAAAGAATATAAGAAATTATTATTTTTTAAATATTTGAAAGATATAGTTATTTACATAAAAATGGAGACAAAAGATAATTATATGTATTAATATCTATTTTATAATAAGTATAAATTAAAACTGAAAAATAAATTTGCGATGTTGAGAAAAAAAAATAATATGAAAAAGAAATAACATTTTAAAAATAAAAAATTAAACATCCTAATTAATATATTTATTTTAGGTGTAAAAAACAATTGTCTCAAAGTCCAAGAGGTAATGTAATTCTTCTCTCTATTCAGCGTTCAATTGTGGTGGCGAATTGTAATGTAGCGGTGGAGACCACGAAAACCTTGAGATTATGACTGCAATTGTGGTCGTGGATTGATTTTTAAAACCTTGAATTAGGGTTTGGCGTCGAATCCGAAGCAGACCAAATTTTCGATGAGGGAAAATCCCAAGCAGGGGCTGCAATCTATTTCTTGCAGAAGGTCAACATCTTCCCCTTCAAGTTCAAGTACATTTTTCTTTATAATTTGTCTCAGAAGAAAAATGGTGGGTCTTCTGGTAGTAATGCTCTTAGAATTAGTCATGTTTTCAGCTTTTGTTGTAGAGTCCACTTGTAATAACTGGTAAAGGAATCAATCAAACAATTAGCGTTTAAAATCGCCACAAATTGACTAAATTTTTTACGGCCAAAACTAGCGTTTAAAGAAATTACGCTACAACCTAATTTTAACGACGGTAAATATGACGGTTATTAATGATTCTGAAAATGTAATTTGTTGCGGTTAAAAATAATCACCACAAATCACACATTCTTTTTTTATTAAGTGCGGACAAAAAATAATTATAAATATTAATATCTATTTTATAATAAATATAGATTAAAAATGGAGATAAAAAATAGTTATAATATTATGATACAGTATATTTGGTTAAAATTTAAAGATGTACCTTAGGTCACATCCAACTCAAACTACTTTTTATTGTTTTAAAATTTACATAAAAAAATATAAAACTGAAAGAGGAGACGTGATTCCGATGTAAAATCAAACCGACTCATGATAGATAAAGAAAAATAGCAATATAATGTGTGTTAAAGAAATATGAGAAAAGAAAAAGAATATTTATATATCATTATCATAATTTTAAAAATTGGATTGATTTGATTCAGAATCAATCTTTAACCAATTTAATTGATTTAAAAATTATTTTGTGATAAACCATTGAAAAATCTATACAACCAGTCAAAACTAATAAAAAAATTTGATTAAACTAGTTTAATTAAAAATATATTTTTTAAAATTTTAAATTTAATTTAATATTTTTAATTAAATTAATTTAAAATTATAAATTAAAATTGTACGGCTAAGAGCACTCGGCCACCGGATAGCTAACACTCGATCGATCACCGAACAGCCAAACCTAGTAGCCGACACCCGATCGGCTACCGAGTAGCCGAAGTCCTAAGTGCAGTACACCATGAACCCATGAATTACCCCTAATCAAGAATTAAGGGTTAATCATACCGATAAGCCAATTAGGGACGTATTACCTAATATAGTAATCCTGTTGCAGGGTCCAGGGAAATCAAGGCCCATTAATGTCAGTATAAATAGCTCATGTCACGAGGTAATGTCACTATTCATTAATTACTATCGATATCTGTGTTTGTCCTGACTTGAGCGTTGGAGTGCCTTTTGCAAGTACCCTCCCTCTCACCGGAATATTCGATAGGAGCTCTCGTTCAGCCCTCAGAATACGAGAAGATTACTAGTGTGCCCTTCAGACAGGTACATTTTGGTGCCCACCGTGGGGCCCGAACCGAGAGTTGTGAGAAGAGCAAGTCGACAAGATCAAAGTAATGGCTAAGACAAGGAAGACAAACATAGAAGACCACAGATCCAAAGGAGAAGAGGAACATGTGGAAGTGGTGGATGAAACCAACCTTTCAGAAACCATTCGTCAACTGAAAGAGGAGATGGCCGCCATGAGGCACCAAAGAGAGAAAGATGCTAGAGAACTTTCGGCATTGAAAGCTGAGAATGTAGCCCTAAAAAGTCAAGACCCATCTTGGAAACCCACTCAGCCGACCCATGAACAAACACAAGCATCGTCACAATCCTTGGAAATCCAAACTTCGGCACCTCGTGCTTCGGTTGTCGCTCCAGAAAAAATCCCGACTATTGGACGATCGATAAGCGTCCAACCGGTTAGCGTTCATCGGCATCCTTTTACCTCATCTATCATGCAGTCACCTTTGTTAGACCATTGGAAAGCTATTCCAATAGACAAGTATGATGGTACCATGGATCCCGATGAACATATTGACGTCTTCCTTACTCAAGTGACATTGAATACCACGGATGATGCTGCCTTATGTCGGATTTTTCCGACATCCCTGAAAGGACGAGCTCTAAGTTGGTTCACTCAGCTTTCACCCAACTCGATTGACTCCTTTAGTACTTTGTCATCACTGTTTACCATCCAGTTTGCTACCAGTCGACCACACCAATTAACCTCCCTGTCACTAGTCAACATTCGACAGGATAAGAAAGAGTCACTTCGAGCCTTCATGGATCGGTTCAACAAGGTAGCCCTTGAAATTAGGAACCTCAATCCAGTTGTAGCACTTCACCACCTTACCACGGCCTTGAAACCAGGGCCTTTTGTTAACAGCATTTGTAAAAAAAACCCCATCGACATGGATGATTTACGGAGGAGGGCGGATAAATATATGCAGATGGAAGACCTGGCCAATTTTCGCAATCAAGCCCAAGCCGAACCAGTAGGCAAAATAGAAAAGACGACAGACCAACCATTCAGAGGGCGGAGCAAGGAATTAACACTTCAGGAACGACCTGCACGTGGTCCGAAGTACTCCCATTACACTCCCCTCAATGCAAGTCGAGCCGCAGTGCTTGAATAGGCTATGGCTTCGGAAGTATTGGCAGTCCCCAAAAGAGCGTCAACTCCCCCACGTGCTAATACGAACAAGTCTTGCAGGTATCATTGCAATCGTGGACATTCCACTGAAGAGTGCGCGACCCTAAAGGATAAGATTGAAGACTTAGTTAAGCAAGGACAACTCTAGAATTTTGTCGATCGGCCAATCTCGTCTCTGCATCGGTCTGCATACCAACCTCAACATCATGATAGACAAGAGCGCTCAGACAGACATCGACGCGAACGCAGCCGATCAAGAGACAGGAGGGAAAAACCCCAAACATCGCATAGATGTGTTATCAACACAATTGTCGGAGGCTTCGCGGGAAGAGGATCAAATTTGTCAGCTCAAAAATGACATTTGCAGGTTGTTAGATCGGTAAATGTTGTTGAAAATCGATCAGCTCGGCGGTTGCCCACCATCACATTCACCGATGAGGACTTTCAGGGCATAGACCCGGTCCAAGATGACCCTATGGTCATCAGTGTGGAGATCCGTAACTGCATTGTGAAAAAGACATTAGTAGATCCGGGCAGTTCGACTGACATCCTATACTAGAACACGTTCAAGCAGCTTGGCATTCCTGAAGAGGAATTGACTCCTTATAACGAGCCGCTTGTTGGCTTCGCTGGGGAAAGGGTCAACACCAAAGGGTTCATCAAACTCTTCACTCGATTTTGCTTTGACGAAAGGGAACATCGGGATGTACAAGTAAAGTATATTGTCATCCATGCCAACACATCGTATAATATACTACTTGGTCCGCCCTCGTTGAATGCCTTAGGGGCCATTGTGTCGACACCACATCTCGCCATGAAGTTCCCATCCGATAGAGGAAACATTCTCACCATCCATGCCGACCAGAAGGCAGCTCAGGAATGTTACTTCGCAAGTCTATGGATACCTCCTATCGAAGAAAAGCTAGCAAAGTCAAGGCGAGTTCATCCCATAACTCCTTAGTCCTCGGAGTCGGTGCCAACATGGGATCTTGATCCAATATTGAATGACGAACGGGCAGAACCGATTGAAGAAATAATCCCTTTGCAGATCGGCTCGCAACCATCCCAAGTCACTTACATCGGGATCGGCTTGTCAGAAACCGAGCGAATGGCAGTAAG